AAAGAAAGAAAGAAAGAAAGAAAGAAAGAAAGGAAGGAAGGAAGGAAGGAAGGAGAAAGAAAGAGAGAAAGAGAGAGAGAGGAAGGAGGAGGAGGAGGAGAAGGAGGAGGAGGAGGAGGAGGAAGAGGAGGAAGAGACATATGGACTCTCCTGATTAAGCTGGCTTCAAACTGTGATCCTCATATCTCAGCCTCCTGAGTAGCTAGGATCACAGGCATGAGCCACTGGTTCCTGGCCATCATAGGAATTTTAAGGGGGGGACACAGTTCCACATTCTCCCTTCCTCATCCACCCTCCACTCTGCTCTCTCACCTGGTCTCTGACACTCACCCCCTTTTTCCTCACAGGCTCGGAATCTTCTTTAGCCCTCTGCTGCCCTTGATCCAGATGGTGATGCTCTTCATCATGTTTTATGTCAAAAATGTGAGCCCACCCCAGTCAGCTTCCCCCAATCAGCTTGCAGCCAGTCAGCTTGAAGCCAATCAGCTTCACCTAAATTTCCTTGGGGCATGTGGGGGCAGGACTGGGGAGGAGCCTGGAGGCAGGGATGGGGTATGGTGGGATCAGGGGAGGTCTGGTGAGTTCCCTTCCGGGCAGATTTGGGAGGTGACTTGTGTGTCTCTCTCCTCAGATCAGCCTCATGATGAACTTCCAGCCTCCAAGCAAAGCCTGGAGAGCCTCACAGATGATAACGTTCTTCATCCTCCTGCTCTTCTTCCCGTCCTTCACTGGGGTTCTGTGTACCCTGGCCATCACCATCTGGAGGTAGGCCATGGAGGCCATAACTGAGGCTTAAGAGACCAGGCTGAAGCCGGGCCTTGGTGGCTCATGTCTGTCATCCTAGCTACTCAGGAGGCTGAGATCTGAGGATCAGGGTTCAAAGCCAGCCCAGGTGGGAAAGTCCGTGAGACTCTTTGTGTGTGTGTGTGTGTGTGTGTGTGTGTGTGTGTGTGTGTGTGTGGTCAGTCATGGGGCTTGAGCTCTGGGCCTGGGCGCTGTCCCTCAGCTCTTCAGCTCAAGGCGAGCGCTCTACCACTTGAGCCATAGCACCACTTCAGGTTTTCTAGTGGTTTATTGGAGATAGGAGTCTCATGGTCTTTCCTTCCCAGGCTGGCTTTGAACCGCGATCCTCAGATCTCAGCTTCCTGAGTAGCTAGGATGACAGGTGTGAGCCACTGGCACTTGGCTTCCATAAGACTCTTATCTTCAATAAAACACTAGAAAACTGGAAGTGGTGCTGTGGTTCAAGCTGTAGAGTGCTAGCCTTGAGTTGAAGAGCTAAGGGACAGCACCCAGGCCCAGAGTTCAAGCCCCATGACCAAAAAAAAAAAAAAGAACACCAGTCTTTTTGGATTAGGAAGGACCCACCCTAATGACTTTATTTTTACTTAATCACCACTGGTTAAAGGCCCCATCTCTAAATACAGTCACATACTGAGGGATTCAGGGTTAATATCTTCAATGAATACATTGTAGTGGACACACTTCAGTCAATAGCCCCACGGCTAGCATGACCAAAAAGAGATTTCCGTTTGTCCTGGCAAACTGGGAAATATGTCTTCAGTTAATGTTACTCAGGGATGACAAATGTTGGAGAGACAGTGCCAGTTCTGCTCAGAATTTAAATACATGCCAAGGTCAGCACTCCTGGGCCTGATCACAGCCTTGGGATCTTAACAACAGCCACTACAAAGTGTTTGCTGCTATAAATTCTACCCTGAGGCTTGTGATTGGCTGAGTAGTGTCTCTTGTGATTGGCTGAGTAGTGTCTCCTGTGATTGGCTGAGTAGTGTTTCTTGTGTTTGGCTGAGTAATGTTTCCCTGCTTCGGGCAGCTGTTAACATCGTAATCCCTGGAACCTGTGGGCAGGTTATATTACATTACAAAGTGGACTTTTGCAGATAAGTGAAGACTCTTAAAATGGAGAGAGTATCCTGGATTCCTCAGGAGAAAACCATAGATTCACAAAGGCCCTTCTAAGAGGGAAGCAGAAGTCAGGGAGGTGTGGAAGATGCTTCTCTGAAAGCTTTGAAGACGGAGAAGGGACCACAAGTCAAGGAGTTGAGGGAAGCTTCTAGAAGCTAGAAGAGGCAGGAAAGGAATGTTCCAATGTTCTTCCAGTACTTTTTGTGCTTCTTCATACAGAAGGAGCCCAGCCCTGTCAGCATTCTAATTTTAGCCTTATAAAACCCATGCTCTAACTGCTGACCTTCAAAAGCATTCGATGAGAAATGTGTGCTGTTGTAAGTTGGTGGTAATTTATTGCAACAGCTAGCCTCGTACAAGTTCTCCTAGTAGCTCCATAGTGGGAGCCGTTATTCTTCTCCCCCTGGTGTGAAGGTAGAAAGTGAGGTTCAGAGCATATAACAAGACAAGGATGGCACAGTTGGCAAATCCAGGATGGGCAGCCTGGCTTGTGTGTCCCAAAGCCAGACCTCATGACCGTGGCCTGGTTCTGTGTGAGGAGCTCCATCTCACCCTTCACCGTGGCCAGCCAACGGCTGTTCTTTGTCGAATCTCTGCCATCTTAATAACCAAGGGGCCTTTGCTGTCTGCCTTCCCTAGCATGGCCAAGTACTTCCGGAACAACTTCATTAACCCCCACATTTACTCCCGAGGCATCGCCAAGCTGGTGTTCTGCTGGGACTTCACTGTCACCCATGGGAAGGCCGTGAAGCTCAAACAGAAGAACCTCAGCACTGAAATACGAGTAAGGCACACTCACCCTGCCCCGTGCCTTTCCACACTGGCTCCTTTCCCACCCCCACCCCCTCCTATACGTCTATGAGGCTGGCAATAAGAAAAATTTAAATATGTGTATTACCTAGGGCTATGGTACTATTTGTAGTGTAGGGAGATGGACATTTTTATATGACTGGGGAGCTTGGTAATTGGTGCTACCTGCCTAGATGCCAGTTTAGCAATCCATGTCCAATTCTTAAATTGTGCCAGGTATGGTGGCACATACCTGTAATCCCAGCCCACAGGAAACTGCAGCAGGAAGCCTGTGAGTTCCAGATTAGCCTTGGCTACATAGCAAGACTCCTGTCTCAAAATTAACAAGCAGGCCAGGCGTTGGTGGCTCACGCCTGTAATCCTAGCTATTCAGGAGGCTGAGATCTGAGTATCATGGTTCAAATCCAGCCTGGGCAGGAAAGTCTATGGCAGTCTTATCTCCAGTGAACCACTAGAAAACCAGAAGTGGTGCTGTGGCTCAAGTGGTAGAGCACTAGCCTTAGAGCTGAAGAGCTCAGGGACAGCGTCCAGGCCCAGAGTTCAGGCCTCATGACCAACAACAACAAAAAATAACAACCAGATAACATAAGAAATTTGCAATGGAAGCTGTTGATCAATGGAGGCTGGTAGGTGGGGGAGAGAAAGCAATAGAGTTGCCAGGTGGTAGTGGCTCACCCTTGTAATCCTAACTACTCAGCAGGATGAGATCAGAAGATCACAGTTTGAAGCCAGCCAGGGTAGGATGGTCCTACAGACTCTCATCTCCAATTAGTCACAGAAGAAGCCACAAGTAGTGCTGCTGCTCAAGTGGTAGAGCACTAACCTTGAGCAGAAGAAGCTCGGTGATAGCACCCCGGTCCAGGACTCTGTGTGTGTGGTAGTGAGGGGGGGAAGCAGTAGAGTTATTATGCACAAAACATAGTATGTGCATGTTTGAGATACAGTAGTGAAAACTCCTTAGTGTAATTAAGACACACTAAAAAAAAAAAAAAAAAAGAATGACAGCAAAGTAAAGTGGACTTGGATTTGTGAGGTGGGAACCAACAGGCGAGGCGGGGGAGGGAGAGAGAGGATGCAAATGGTTGAAGGTGTTTATTAGCATGTATGAAAGTAGAACAGTGGAACCTATTGAAATGGGTTTGGGAAGGAGGAGTGGGATGGGGAGATTCATAGATGAGCTGAGGGTGATTGAGATCCATTGTTTATGTGTGTGGAAATGGCTCAATGAAACCCACCAATATATGTTCACTACAAGAAAAGCAAAACCCAAACCAAAGGGCCCATGAGCTCAACGCCTTCAAGAATAAGATCAAAAGCTATGGGTCTTGGGCTGGGAAGGTGGCTCAGTGGTAGAGCGCTTGCCTTGCATGCAGGAGGCCCTGGGTTCGATTCCTCAGCACCACATAAGCAGAAAAAGCCAGAACTGGTGCTGTGGCTCAAGTGGTAGAGTGCTCGCCTTGAGCTTGAAGAGCTGAGGGACAGTGCCCAGGCCCTGAGTTCAAACCCTAAGACCGACAACAAATAAAATAAAATAAAAAGCTATGGGTCTTTGTCAGAGATGGAAAGGAAATTTAGCCAAGGTGATGGGGTTCTTGGCCATTTTGAGATTCTCCCATAATCCATTTCCAGCATGAACTTCTGCCTTACCTGCAGATCTGGGTGGCTTTGTGACCTGTGGGTCAAGTTGACGGGCATGTGTTTGCAGGAGAACCTGTCGGAGATTCGTCAGGAGAACACCAAATTCACGTTCCACCAGCAGCTGACCCGCTTTTCTGCCCACGTGGTGGCCTGGCTTGTCTCTACAGGAATGGCCGCAACCTGCTGTGTAGCTGTGTATTACTTGTCTCAGTTCAACTCTGAGGTAAAGCAGACAGACAGGATGATCCCATCTGGAAGCAAAGAGCCAGAGGCTAGGCTGGGTAGAGGGGAGGTGGTACAAAGCCCTTCCTTTTAGCCTGGATTGGTGGCTGGGTGTTTAAAACTGTCTATCTTGGGAATGGATGCTAGTGACTGACTCACACCGATAGTCACAGCTACTGAAGGGGTTGAGATATGAGGATTGAGGTTCAAACCCAGCCTGGGCAAAAAAGTCTATGAGTCTTACTTCCAGTGAATCACTAGAAAAATGGAAGTGGAAGTGTGGCTCAGGTGGTAGAGCACCAGCCTTGAGCAAAATAGCCAAGCAAGAGTGTGAGATACTGAGTTCAAACTCTGGTACCAGCCCCCAAAACAAAACAAAACAAAATTAAAAACACCTTCACAATCTCCCTGGGCAGGAAAGTCTCTGAGACCTTTTTTTTTTTTGGTCAGTTGTGGGGCTTGAACTCTGGGCTTGGGCACTGTCCCTGCATGCTTCAGCTCAAGGCCAGTGCTCAACTGCTTGAGCCACAGTGACACTTCTGATTTTCTGAGTAGTTTATTGGAGATAAGGGTCTCATGGACTGCCGGGTGCTGGTGGCTCACGCCTGTAATCCTAGCTACTCAGGAGGCTGAGATCTGAGGATCGCAGTTCAAAGCCAGCCCGGGCAGGAGAGACCGTGAGACTCCTATCTCCAATAAACTACCAGAAAACCGGAAGTGGCGCTGTAGCTCAAGTGGTAGAGCACTCACCTTGAGCTGAAGAGCTGAGGGACAGCGCCCAGGCCCAGAGTTCAAGCCCCACAACTGACAAAAAAAAAAAGAGTCTCACGGACTTTCCTGCCCAGGCTGGCTTTGAACTGCAATCCTCAGATCTCAGTTTCCTGAGTAGCTAGGATTACAGGTGTGAGCCACAGGCGCCCGACTCTGAGACTCTTATTTCCAATGATCCACCAGAAAACCAGACATGGAGCTGTGGCTCAAAGTGGTAGAGTACTAGCCTCGAGCAAAAGAACTAAGGGACAGTGCCCAGGCCCTGAGTTCAAGCCCCATAACCTACTAGAAGAGAGAGAGAGAGAGAGACAGGAAGGTCCAGCACTGAGTGGGCATCTTGGTCCTCTCCTCCACTCTGACAGTTCCTGAAGACACACAGGAACCCCGGGGCCGTGCTCTTACTGCCTTTCGTCGTATCCTGTATCAACCTGGCTGTACCACGCTTTTACTCCATGTTCAGGCTTGTGGAGAGGTTTGAGATGCCACGGCATGAAGTCTACGTCCTCCTGATCCGGTAGGTGTGTCTGCCATGCTCGAGTAGGCCTCATTTCTAGGGAGCCAAAAGACATTTGGCTCAAATCCCCAAGTTCTGAGCTCCAGAAGGAAAGAATTCCAAGAGTAGCGCAGGTCCACCAAAGAACCTTGCGAAAATACTTACTGAGTACAAATGCTTTTTCTAGGTCCCCCCTCCCTCAAAGTGATCCGTTACTTTTCTCAATAACTGTCCTCCTCCTCCAGGATATCACCTACAGATGGGCGGGGCGGTGCACCGCACCAAGGCCTCTGATTGAGGAATTATGGGGGACTGAAACCATACAGAGTCAAACCAAGCCCTGGTTCCCACAGCACTACTTCTGGGGAGACACAGTTCTGCGACTCAGGCCGCCCATCCCCACAGAGGTGGGAGGGGTCACTCATTGACCCCAGAGTTTGATAGATAAAGGTGAATGCTACCCCAATCCAGACATGATAGCTGGTTCTCTCAGTGGCCCTGCCTGAAGATGACTTTCCTTTATAGTTCACTGTTAGAGGCTGCTCCTTCCTGTGGCCTCGGAGATCTGGCTCCTGGGCCAATGTTCCAGCCTCATCTTTCTGCCTCTGTCATCCTTGATCATGGCCCCTTCTCCCTCACTGGCCTCCTAAGTGTTCACACACATGCCCAACTATGTACCCACCTCCAGGCCTTTGCACTGGCTGTGCTTTCTGCCTGGAAAGCTCTTTTTCTACAGAGAGCAACATGGCTCATTTTCTGGCTTTCTTTTGACTTCTGCTCCCAGGTTGGAGAGCTCTTCCCTGACACCCTCACTTTCCTTTCTTCTCTGCATCATAATTTTCTTACCAAATACTAACTTTCTTATTTATTGGTTTCTCACACTCCACACACACACACACACACACACACACACACACACACACACACACACCTTATGGGGAACTCTTTGCCTTGTTCACAATTACCTGAGACATAACAGGTTATCACTACTCATGGTGGAAATGAATGACTGAACACGTCAGTCACGCAGTCTCTTTATTATCCCTCCACATGGACCACATTACCCCTTTTGTAGGTGGGGGCACCGTCACCCCCATAACCTTGCTTCCTGGGTAAGATGAATGTAATGGACCAGAGTTGTAAAGATGAAGGGGGAAGATTAAGGAGAGCAGGCATCCAAGACACCCTTCCACTGAAGAACATTTACTATTAAAGCAACAGGAAGTTAGGTGATGTCACAAAAGAGCGCCAGAATAAATTGGGTTATGCTGCCATAACAAAAATCCCCCAAGGAGGAGGCAGGCGAGAACTGATTGTATATACCACAGAATTGAGAACTGTAAGGGCAGGGGTGGGTGAAGGGGCTGTGAAGTTGTTGAAGTAATGACAGGGACCGAGATGCATTGTGTGCATTAACTACTTTGTTAAATGGCAAAAAAAAAAAAAAGAAAGCATTACATAAGCTAAAATGAGGATAAGTGAGGGAAGGGGGTAATAAAGGAGGGTGAGAACGTTGGAAGGGGTCACCTCGATCAAGATGCACGGTATTCATAATGCAATTACTCAAAAAAGTCCCCCCAGATCTCCACAGCCTGGGAAACAATGGCTTCTTTCTTTCCTGTGTGACCTCTGCACTGTGGACCGGCCAGATGATTCTGCCTGTGATATTCCCCAAGGGGCCAGGCTGTGAGCACGGGAACATAATTGGGAGACAAGGGCGTTAGAGGATCACACGCTGGCTTAGAGGCCATAGTGATAAGTCTCACTCCTGCTCACCTGCCATTGGTTAGATCTAATCAGTCAGATGACCTCCAGCCTGCCAGAGTGTTGGGGCAGGGGGGCGGGACAGGAAGGGCAGGACCATCTCTCCACAGATATGTTGGCAAGCACACACTCAGGAGGCTCCACGGAGGGTAACGAGAGCCGTTTCTCTTCTGTGGTTGATCTAGAAACATCTTGCTGAAAATATCCATCATTGGCATTCTTTGTTACTACTGGCTCAACATCGTGGCTCTGTCAGGAGAAGAGGTGAGAGATCGCCGGGGTGTTCTGCCCTCTTGAGTTGTCATTGGAGGATGTGAGTTTCTGGATGGCCATCACTCTGTGTTTGGCACAAATGCCTTTGGGGCAGAGAGAGGAGTGAGTCTAGGAGACAGCCACATGGCATGAGAGGCCACCATGAACACGCGAAGATCCTAGTCCAAAGCCAGCTGCATCATCGCTCAACCTCTTGAGGCGTCAGTTTTCCCATCTGTAACATGGGCACGTTGGCTTATACCATTGTGGGTGGAATAAGCGTGTGCCCAGCATATACTAGACATGCTGTGGTGGCATCCCACCCCTGATACATTCTGGCCCTCCCTCATTTGCCTGTGGCTTTTAAGTCCTCCCTCTTCTCGGGTGATAGTGTCCAGCCCACCCACCTAGGAGTTGTGTCCCACATGCCTTCAGGGAAACTCCACCCTCTCTGGTCATCCCCTCATGATGCCTCTGTTTCCCCAAGACAGACAGCCTCTACCTCTACCGGATTTCTTAGCTTTTGCCAGTGCTAGGCCCTCAGGGCACAGGAAGCCCTGGAGTTTGACTTAGAGTTGGGGAAGAAAGGGCATCTCTTTAACTCTCGGCCACCCTTTGTCCCTGAGCCCACCACACACAACACTGCCGTGCCCAGATGCAAATTGTTTTGCATGAACATGACACCCTCACCTTTTCATCCAAGTTATTGAAGAAGTTCAAACCAGCCTTCCTTAATAGGTGGTTAGAGAAGATATCTTGCTATCCTTCCATCTATCCATCCATGCATTGACCTGTCTGTCTGTCCATCCATTCATCTGTTCATCCATCCATCATTTATCCATCTATCTATCCACTGTACATTTATCCATCTGTACATCTATCCATCCATCCATCTGTACATCCATTCATCCCTCTATCTACTCATCCATCCATTCATTCACTGATCCATCTATCTGTTCATCTGTCCATCTATCCATTTGTCCATCCATCCATCCATCTATTGACCTGTCCATCCATCAATCTATCCATTTCTATGTATCTATCCACTCATCTATCCATCTATTCACTGACCCACTCATCTGTCCTTCCACCGGTCCATCCTTCTATCCATCCATCCATGCATTCATCCTTTTCTCTCTCCATCTAAGTATCTACCCATCTATCCATTCTTGGGCTGCACATACAAAACTTCCCTCTCCTCCCTAAGCCAAACCTAAAAGCTCCAGCCTATCAGCAACTTGCACTGGCTTTCTGCAGAACTTAATAACCACAAATTTCATAAACCAATGCCTTTGGGGCATTAGCCTGCTTACACTTCAAAGTCATTATCTCAGTCAATCAGACACTGACTGATTTTCTGTGTGGTCATTGGGCAAAAAGAAGAGAAGCATTCTTAATGCCAGTGCCTCTTATGTTCCTGAAGAACCCAATTACCCTGGGCCAAGAAATGGGATGCAGAAGGAAAAGGTCTGAGATGAAATGACTTAAAGGGAGGGCTGGTGAGAAAGGGGAGTTGGTACACATAGAAGGTCAGCCCTAGGAGAGGCAGAAGAGAGAGGCACAAAGGAAATCAGCATCCTTGAAAACAGACTTGGCCCCATTTGTGCAAAGAGGGAAATCTGCTTTTCTGGGTACTAAGGTCTGGATCAAGCCCCCAGCTACCTCTAAGCACACGAAGCCAGGGATGGAACAGATAAAACAGAGCCCCACATCCTGACTCTCGTCTGCGTTCCAGTGTTGGGAGAGCCTCATTGGCCAGGAGATCTACCGGTTCCTCCTGATGGACTTCGTGTTCTCCATAGCAGATTCCTTACTGGGGGAATTTCTTCGGAGGTAAATAATTGTCATCAAGAATATTTAATTGGCCAGACACTGGTGGCCTGTAATCCTGTAATCCTAGCTACTCAGGAGGCTGGATCTGAGGATCGCAGTTCAAAGCCAGCCCAGGCAGGAAAGTCCATGAAACTCTTATTGCCAATAAACTACCAGAAAACCAGAAGTGGTGCTGTGGCTCAAGTGGTAGGGTGCTCGCCTTAATTGTTCCTAGTGCTGACCCCACAGGAGTGTATTGATCTGCCCACTGACTTTGGAACAGCATTCTCTTCTAAGCCAAATTTTACCTTAACCTGCTGTCTTGATTCATTGA